CACGTAGTAGGTTTCGTTCAAGTCCGAGTGGAAGCCGTGCAAGTAGATGGTCACATCCAAGTTGAGGATATCGCCGTCCTGCAACACGGTCTTGTCCGGCACGCCGTGGCAAATGACCTCGTTGAGCGACGTGCACATGGACTTGGGGAAGTTGTAGTAGTTGAGGGGCGAGGGATATGCGTTGTGGTGCAAGCACTCCTTGTGCAAGATGGCATCGAGCTCGTCCGTGGTGATGCCGGGCGCAATGTGCGACGCCACCTTGTCCAAGATCTGGCGCGAAATAAGCCCGACCTTGCGCATCTTCTTGATCTCCGACTCCGTCAAGATGGTGATCTTGCCGAGACGGTCGTTTTTGATTTCACTCAAGGGCCTTCCGTCCTGTGCATAGTCCGGTTTCTTGATGTGCTGGGGCACGGCACGTCGAGAACTGAGCGGATATGACGCCCTCAAATCCCCTGTGTACTTGAAGTTGGGGAACGGGTCGAACTTCTTGTTGTCCTCTGCTGGGTGCACGGCCTTGTGCATGGCCCAGCCTCCTCTAAAACACGTCTGGTTGCAGAACACAGACGAAATGCCGTTTTTCAAGCACACGGGGCATTTCAACGCAGACTCGGAGTCCTTGCCGCATTGTGGCGACGAGCAGGTGGCCATCTTTGTGTTTCAGGGCTGGTGCTTGGATCCTTCTTTTTTCGGTAGCGTGAGGTCAGTATTTTCTGCTCTTTTTTCGCGGAGGTGCGGCTCGGCCCGCGGCTGGGCCGGCTGGTGGAACTGAGACTGAAGGGTTGGCAAGAGGAAAGGAAAATCCGAGGGCAAAAATCGTGGCAAAAGTGATGGAATGGGGGTGGAATAAGTGGGAATGACGGGATAACTGGGAGTGACGGGATAAGTGGGAGTGACGGGATAAGTGGGAGTGACGGAATAAGCGGGAGTGACCGAGGTAATTCCCGCGACAAGTGACGGAGGAAATTAATGAAAAGCGATGGAGAGGATCAATGAGAACAGCCTAAAGAAGAACCAGGAGGCCAGGAAAAGGAAAAAAAACGCTGACAACAATCTAGAAAATAGTGGAATCAAGCGCAGTCCGGCCTTGCCGGGCCCTCCTCGACATACGCCTTGCTGGCTGGCCCTGATGCTGGTCAGTCCTATATAAGCCTGGTGGCCCTGGTCTTGCTCGCTCCAGCTAGAACGAAATTTTATTTTTTCCTTGGGTTACGGAAACTCTGAGTCGACACCCATTCTTCCGTGAATCAATACGGGCAGTCGCTCACAGATCTGGCAAGCTCCCGGATTCTTTGCTCAGCCTGCCTCCCCATGAAGTGAGCATCAGAAACTAGAGACAGGGCTTCAGGGCTGTTTTATGTAAGCATGTGCCTGCTTCTGTTTGATGGCTCCATCACTTTCTGTTCGCGGCGTCGTTGTCCAACTCACCTGGGCTTGTCTGGCGCATTCCGTGGGCTCCATCCTCCAGCACTTAATAAAAAAAAGGTTTATGGATGAAAGAAAGGGTCAGGAGTATGACGCCACAAACCATTTCGAATTTTGGCGTGCTTTGGAATTTTGGCGCCTGTTCCCATGTCCGTGAGATCTGCAACTTGAAGCGGAACTGATTGCGAAGTTGGAAACGGTTGCGAAAAAAGACAGCGAAAGCCTCCAGCACTTTTCAAAGCGTAACAACAAGACTACTTTTTTTTATTTTTTGAGTTAAACAAGTCACACTGTTATATTAGTCGCCAGCCTAAACCAGCGGCACGTGATGCTGCAAAGGACCGAGTTCTCCAAGCGAGCTTCGTGGCAAAATGGCCGGGCCCTCGAAACAGACCATGTAATAAATGTCCACTAATACTTACCGCACCCGGCATGCCAAGGCCTGACTTCGGAAATCCAAAAATTGGTGTCGAAGATGCTGATGGTTTCTCGCCCGGCTGTAATGGTAATAGTCCCTTGAAAACTACATCCCGGTCTTCCGTGACGGGCATGAATACATACGCAGATATATTGGTGCCGGAGACGGCGATCCACCCCTCGCCCGGAGATCATCGATACAGACACACGCAATAAACAATACACATATTTCTGGAGCAAACGAAGTATAAAAAGCTGGGTTGCCGGGCTTGGACGTGGTACTTCTCCACACTATGCTCCCGGAGCACAGATTGGCCAAGCCAGCGAAACATTCGGCGAAACGGCACACCACAGCCCCCGCACTCAAAAACATCTACTTGGCGCCTAAGTTTTCGGGGCCAAAGCTCATGGGTAAGAGCTCGGCCAACGTTTTCTCCACCACGTGCTTGCCGTCCGAGGAAGCCATGAAAACGGGGATGTCGGTGCCGAATTCACGGATCGATTGCCGGCAGATGCCACAGGGGCTGATGGGGTCCTTTTGGTCGCTCGAAATGGCAAGCGCTCGGAACGCCGTGTGGCCTTCCATCACGGCCCTGGCGATTGCCGTTCGTTCTGCGCAGATGGCTGCCCCATAGGAGGCGTTTTCGACATTGGCGCCCTTTATGATTTTGTTGGAAGACGTGAGAATGGCGCATCCCACACTAGAAGTTAGTAGGGCGCCGTGGCCGCAAGGAGGGGGGGGGGTTCTAATCTACGTACCGAAACCTGGAGTATGGGCTGTATGAGAGCTCACGTGCTGCGCTAGTTAGGAGGATTCAGGGAGGAAAAAAAGGTCACATCCCGGGGCCGAAAAAAGTCCACATACCGTTTTGAGCCGCGGCCACTAGGGTCGCTACCTCGTCGACTGAAATGGAACAAACCATGGCTGGTGGTGGAACCAGTGGACGGACGGGGCCGCTTGGGTGGGGCTTCACACCCGTACACCCGAGGATCACTTTCGGCCGGTTTTTCCTGGCCGGCTCTCCAGCTGGTTGTTTGAGGCCGTCTGTTGTTTGAGGCCGTCTTTTCTTTGTTTGGAGGTGAGACTGCAAGGCAAGAGCCTCGCTGGAGGCAATGGAGGTCACGGGGACAGCGCTTGTTCGGCCGTGGCGCCGTAAGCGCATATCACGTGAGCGGCGATCTCGCGCGCGGGCAGGGGCCGAGTTGGCAGGGCTGGTTATGAAGAAGCCGCAGAGGCAGGACAAGAGAAGCTGGAACCGAGAGCCATACCAATAAAAAAGGATCAAAAAAGGTCAAAAGAATACAAAAGAATGAGAAACAATGAAAGCAATAGAGAAGCAATACAAAAAGCAATACGATCACGAATGCTTATACCAGTAGAACACAAATCATATTACCAAAAGCCAATACTAGTATCAATAGTAATATCAAAGCCAATACAACACCAATACAACACCAATACCAATACAACACCACCAATACAACATTAAACAACACCAATACCAATACCAATACCAATATCAATACCAATAAAAAACAATTCCAATACAATACCAATACATTACCAATACCAATACCAAGACTAACACCAATACATTACCAATACATTACCAATACCAATACATTACCAATACATTACCAATACATTACCAATACCAATACATTACCAATACATTACCAATACCAATACATTACCAATACATTACCAATACCAATACCAAGACTAACACCAATACATTACCAATACATTACCAATACCAATACATTACCAATACATTACCAATACATTACCAATACATTACCAATACATTACCAATACATTACCAATACATTACCAATACATTACCAATACATTACCAATACATTACCAATACATTACCAATACATTACCAATACAACACCAATACATTACCAATACATTACCAATACCAATACAACACCACCAATACAACTTTAATACAACACCAATACCAATACCAATACCAATACCAATACCAATACCAATACCAATACCAATACCAATACCAATACCAATATCAATACCAATACCAATACCAACAAAATAAAATACCAATACCAATACAATACCACCACATCACCACCACATCACCACCACATCACCCATCAACACCTCAACACCATACCCCCGGGACCCCAGGCGCATGGGCGCGGGTCACGTGCCGCGCGCCGCGGCTCCGACCGATGACGTACCCGGCCCTCGACTCAAAAATGGATCAGACCAGTGTTCCTGCCCATTGCACCTCCAGCTTCCACCGTCGTTTTTCTTCCACACCCCGTCGATTTTTTTTTGCCTGGCGCCTCCGTGTTTTTGGCCCGCAGACCCCGCATCCCCCACGCCGCCACAGGCCCCCCTTTCAGCCCCCGTCCGCCCAGCACCGCCCCGCTCTATGACGTCATGACAGAGCTCGTCTTTTTGCGCCACGGGCCCCGGGCCGACCACAGCCAAAATGACAGCCAGCCGTTGCACTCGCCGTACAAAGTGTACGACCTGCTGGTGACGCAGCAAACGCGCCAGCTAGCCGCCGACGTGGCGGGCCAGATCGTGCGGCTCGCCAGCTTCGAGGGCAGCAGCCGCAAAAACATCTTTGTGCACTTCTCGCCGTACTTGCGGTGCTGCGAGACGGCGGACCTCTTGGTGTCGGGCATGCGCAGCCACATCGGCGAGCTGCACGCGGGCGTGACGCCGCGGTTCCAGCTCTTGGGCGACTTTGCCTTGGGCGAGTGGATCCACGACAAGATGAAGAACAAGCCGCCGTTCTTCGACTCGACCGAGGCGTACCAGATGTACACGCCCAACATCCAGATGATGGAGAACAGGAAGCACGTGTCCAACTTCCGGCCCACCACCAAGCTCGGGCCCTGGAACGAGCCGGACCTCTCGTTCAAGGAGTTCCAGGACCGCTGCAAGGCGTACTTCCAGAAGCTCCTAGCCACGTACGACAAGCCCAGCCACGACCACGACTTGATCGTGGTGGTGGGCCACGGCTACGGCGTGTCCAACTTCCTCTCGCACTTCATCAGCCAGCCCGTTTTCCAGGAGATCCCGGAGATGTGCCTCAACTTTGCACGCAAGACGCTGGGCGTGTGGCACTTGGAGCGCGACTGCTTGGGCATGTTGCAGCGCCAGCCGGACCTCGACTCGTGCTTGAACTTGGAGACCGACATCGTCTACTACAAGACCAACTTCATCAAGAAAGACGAGCTCGACGAGTCCAAGGAGTTCCCCGCCATGGGCTTTGGCGGGCTCAAGGCGCCGGACGGCCACCCGCGCCCGTCGTTCAAGATCAAGCTGGTGACCGGCGGCCCGGGCTCCGCGTCCACCCGCAACCCGTTGTGCCCCGCGGCGAAAAACTGGGACCCGCAGCGGCCCTCGCCGTTCCTGGTCAAGTCCGACTTCCGCTTGAAGGTCATGAACGACGAGGCGTTCAAGAAGGCGTTCGACATCACGCGCCCGCCGCGCCAGCCCGCGTCGCCGGAGGTCTCGCCCAACTCCGAGCCCAGCAAAATCAACTCCACCATCGACCTCTCCAAGTTGCGCTCCAACGAGGAGATCTACAAGCCCTTGAAGTTGAAGTACTCGCTGGCGTCCGACATCCCGGTGCCGTACTTGAACTCCAAGGTCAACTCGCACGTGAGCTTGCACCACATGCATCCGCTCGGCTCCACGTCCTCGTCGCTCGACCTCGCGAGGGGCGCCATGCACATTGTGCCGGGCACCGAGTCGTGTGGCCTGGCCTCGCCCCGCGACGCGCACCTGGACCAGGAGCTGGCGCTCAACATGAACGAGGTCATCTCTAGGCTCTCGCGCGTGCGCTCTCTCCAGAAAAAACGCGTGCAGACGGCGACGCCCAAGTTCGGCATCATCTCGGAACAGGACACGCCGCCCGCCTCGCAGACGGAAAACACCTTTGCGCTTCTGTTTGGCAACGCGCTCGAGAGCATGGCCGCCAGCGCCGCCGCCGCCCCGGACGTCTCTGCCACGCCGCCTGCGGGCCCGGCCCGCAGAAGCAGGTCCAGCTCCGTCAAGTTCGTTCCCTCGGTGCTCTCGCACGAGACCAAGCCCGAGAGGAAGAAGGAAAACAAGTCCATTTTCTACAACTTCAACTCGGGCTCCGCGTCCAGCGACGACTCCCTGGACGAGGAGCCCCACGGAAACAAGTACATGTGGTTTGGCCAGAACACCAAGGCCGACTAGCCGGGCCCAGGACTTTTTTGGATCTGGCCGCGTGGCGCCGGAACTTGTCGTGCGGATGAAGATTCACTCACCCGACGGTCCTGGCAGCTAGATGGCACCTGGAAGGTTTTCATTTCATAGAGGTCACGGCACACTGCGGGTGCGTGCTGCGCTGGCTCAAGGGTGTCTGTGGAGGCTGGAACGTCCCATTTTTGCAGGACCCGAGCCTTGTGCGTGACGACTTCGTCCAGGAAAAGCGTGTGCCGAGCCCCACCCCAAGGCTGTTTGCGTCTGAACCTCGCCATGTGGTATTCTGCTGAAGATGTATAATATATTTATTTTCCAACGTCAAGAGAAAAAAACGTGCATTTATAGCGTGATGTGTAGTAACTAGTGGCTACCGAGGAGCGGTATTCCGAGTCCAGCAAGCAAAGCAGAAAACCGGGAGTCTGGATAGCAGGTCTCTGTTATGTAAAGACACGAGAAGCGGCGTCCCAACATGGGTTCTCGTACTCTGAGTACAATAACCAGACCAAAATCATAATCGAGTCTGAAATCAGTATAAAAAAAAGAGAAAGAGCGGTTCTTGAAGCGTATCGCAGCTGAAGTATTGCAATGTGTGTTTACATCTTTGATCAGAACGAATGTTGTTTTGATTTACATAATTTATGTACTTCAGAGAAACGACAAGAAAGGTTGTTCTGGTTCTTAAATGTGGCCAGGTTTACCCTATGGTTGCCATAAGTCTAAGCTTCACAGAGTCAGTCCTATTTAATATTCAGAATGCCAGACCTAGTTCAAGGGTTAATGTACCCACGCATATATGAGAGATTTGATGTCTATCATCGAAGGTCTTTTTTCTCAATTGTGCAAATGTGAGTCTTTTCACGCGCAAGCAAAAGTTGAAGATCTTGAGTGATATCCTCTTTGGACTGGAATCAGGTAACAGATCTTTCGGGAGCAAGTTCAGGTTCTTTCTGCTGGAGTTTAAGGGGCTGTCACAAGAAGCGCACATACATATGAAATCACGGCAGTATGATTTATTTCTCCAAGGTAGAAGGGTTTCTCGCGTATGATACCAAGCTTTGATACATATTGCTAGAGACAGACCTTTATATTCTGAAAAAGGCCGGAAAGCGATTTGGGCAAAGTCATATTAAACGAGTTTATGTATCAGGCATCTCACCCCAAAATAACATCGAAGCAGCCAAAACCCTCAGGCCCTCACAAACACCGCCACTCAAAAAGGCCAAGGGGATTTAGTCAATTTCTGCTGTTTATTTGCCATATAGTGGATGTATAGGTCGGCCAGAGGACAGTAGTGCTCGCCTCGTAAATAGTCGACTTATCTAGTAGATTTGCCAATAGTATAAAAGATGGACCTATAACGGCTCATACCATTTAAGCATGTATATTTGAATTTATACGTAATGTGTTTTGAACATATACATACACACGTATATATGCCTAGATATTATTTTGAAAATACACGCTGATGAGTCCAAAGATTTGCAAGATGTTCAAATTGGCCCTGCTGTAAATTTTAAGTTATAGTGGCTATGTAGAAATATGTGTATTTTGGAGTTCCCGGTGAGCTCATCCAGAGAAGAAATTGTTGCAGCCGGAAAAGAACACGAATGTGGCTTCTCGCTGGTATATGTGGTGTGAAATATCAAGACAAACCCAGAAACATTCAGACATTTCAAGACATCTCGAAATATCTAGACATGTATATCTAGATATATACCCAAAAGATATATCTTCATACTCGGCTATATATAGCCAGCGACATCGAAAATTATTCCCGCGTAAAATAAAACTCAAACAAATGTATATTCAGACATAATATCTAGAAATGTATACCAGAAATGTATACCTAGACCCATATGTCTAAATGTTTGTTTAGACGTCTAGATTCAGTCAATAAATTTGCACATGTATATCCAGACATTGATATGCAGATATGTATACCCAGAATGCAGTTCCAAAAAGACTTCGACACATCAGACGTACAGTACATAACACAGACATAGTATTCATTAGATCCAGACATTATATCCAGAAATCGTATCCAGAAATCGTATCCAGACATTATATCCAGACATTATATCCAGACATTATATCCAGACATTATATCCAGTCATGTTCATCAAGACGTAATCTAGACATTTCCAAAGCAGAGTTTCTCATATCAGACATGTATACCCAGACATGCATATATTTAGACCTCTATATCCAGACAAAAGTACCCAGAAGTCATATCTAGCCAATAAATCTAGACATGTATCCCCTGGCATGTACACCAAACATGTGTACTCAGACATGTATGCTCAGACCTTTGTACTCAAAAACATTCAATCATATCCAGACGTGACCAGAATACATCTCCACATATACATTAGAAGACATTGATGCTTAGACAAGTATATCCAGAATATTTAAGATATCCAGAAGTACCGAGAATACATCTAGACAAACCTAGACATGTATGCACAGACAAGGATACTCATACATTATATTCAGACATTATATTCAGACATTATATTCAGACATTATATTCAGACATTGTATTCAGACATTGTATTCAGACATTGTATTCAGACATTGTATTCAGACATTATATCCCGACATTATATACAGACATTATATCCAGACATTATACCCAAACTTCATACCACTAATACCCAGAATGTACCCAGATAGTATACCCATACGCTATACCCAGTCTTCCCAGACAATAGTAACCTCACTTTATACCAAGACACTATACCCAGTGTACCCAGACATTTATACCCAGAGTATACCCAGAAGTTTTAGCTAGACGCTATACCCAGGTATTTACCCAGTATACTCAGAATTATACCCACACATTATACAAGGCATCATGCCCAGTATACCCAGACACTATTCCCAGCCATTATACCTAGTTACCCAGAAAATACTAACCACACAATATACCAAGACATCACGCCCAGTATACGCAAACAGTAATATCCATAGTATAGCCATAATATAGCCAGTATAACCAGATACTATACCCAGTCTACCCAGCCATCTTACCCAGTATATCCAGACAATAATAACATCACATTATATCAATTCATTGATACCCAGACACTATACCCAGACATCAGAACTCAGAATACAGCTGGAAATTAATACTCACGCGTTATATTTAAACATTATATTCAGACATTGAACGCAGAATATACCAAGACACTATACCCAGACATTATATCCAGAATATACCCAATACACCTAGACATTATACCCAGACACTATTCCCAGCCATCATGCCCAGAACATAAGCAGTATATCAAGACAATAATATCCTTAGTATACCCATAATATACCCAGTACACCTACACACTATACCCAGCCATCTTACCCAGTATACCCAGGCAAAAAAAACCAGAATATACCCAGTATCCCCAGACAAAAATAATATCACATTATATCAACACATCGATACCCAGACATATCCAGAATATACCTAATTTCCCAGTATACCCAGAAAATTTTAACCACACAATATACCAGGACACCATGCCCAGTAAACCAAGACCGTAACATCCATAGTATGCCCATAATATACCCAGTATACCCATACATTATACCCAGCCATCTTACCGGTATACCCAGACAATAACATCACATTATATCAGCACATCAATACACAGACATATCCAGAATATACTCCTTATACCCAGACATTATACCCAGTACACCCAGACATTATACCCAGTACACCCAGACATTAATACTCAGAGTATACCTAGACATTAATACTCGCGCATCATATTCAAACATTATATTCAGACATTGTACCCCGAATATGCCAAGACACTATACCCAGAATATACCCAGAATATACCAAGGCACTATACCCAGTACACCCATAATCCGCCCAGTATACCCAGACCAAGTTCCCCGTGAACTCACGCATTATATCCAAACATTATATTCAGACATTGTACCCAAAATTCACCAAGACACTATACCCAGAATATACCCAGAATATACCAAGGCACTATACCCAGTACACCCATAATCCACCCAGTATACCCAGCCATCTTACCCGGCATACCCAACAAGAACATCAACACATCGATACCACATCAGACCGGATAGACCCGCCTGTTTCCACAGGTATACCCACCCCCCACCACAAACACCAAACACGCCCACGGATCACACCCCAACATCCCGCGTCCAGCGGCCCGAAGCACCAGACCGATAAGCAAACTCCGCCTTCCTGGTAGGCGCGCGTATCATCAGCCGCGCTTCTCCATACCTCGCGTTCTTCTCAAACAACGATAACAAAACATCACCACCATCGAACACAATCCCGTCAAAAGCCAAAACACCAAACACCAAGACACCAAACACCAAGACACCAAACACCAAGACACCAAACACCAAGACACCAAACACCAAGACACCAAACACCAAGACACCAAACACCAAGACACCAAACACCAAAAGCCAAAACACCAAAAGCCAAAACACCACCACCAAACACCAGCACCAAGACACCAAGACACCAGACACCAGCGCGAAACACCCCCAACCAGCACCAAAGTACCACCACACCAAAACACACCAAAACACACCAAAACACACCAAAAAACCCCAGAAAAACGACGCCATGGCCCCCGACGCCGCGCCTGCACACGCGCCCGGCGCCCAGGCCTGTGCCGTGACCATCGGGCTCTCCAAGGACCTCACCATCCCCATCACCGTGCGGCTCCGGCGGCTCCACACAGACACGCCGCCCGGCCTAGCCGCCGGCTCCGCGCGGTACAAAGACGCCGCGGTGTTGCAGCGGCTCTCGGCCGTGTCGCGCAACTCGCCCATGTTTGTGGCCGTGCAGCTTTTCGACGGCAGCCACAACGCCATGTGCGAGCCGCGGCAGACCGCGTACACGGCCTTCCACCGCAACACGCGCGAGTGGGACTGCTGCGTGCGGCTCCCCGTGCTCTACAGCCAGGCGCCGCTCGACGCGTACCTCCGGTTCACGGTGCTGGAGATGGTGTGCACGCGTGTGGCGGAGGTGGGCCGCGGCCACTTGTCGCTCTTTGACCCCGCGGCCCGCACGCTCCGCGGGGGCGCCTACCGGGTGGCGGTGGTGGCGGGCGGGGGCCTGCCGGTCGATCCTGGCGCGGCGGCGCGGCTTCTGCGGCCCGAGCACGGCGGCTCTGGGCGCGAGGCGTGGCTCGACCGCTGGGCCGTGGCGAGCGGCGTTCAGGGTCGGGACTGCTGGATGCTGGCGCGAGACAGCGGAATTAGGGCCCAAGACGGTGGTATTCCGGCCCGAAATGGTGGAGTTCTGGCCCAAGACGGTGGTTTTCCGGCCCGAAACAGCGGAATTAGGGCCCAAGACGGAGTTCTGCCCCACAACAACAGGATCCTGCCCCAGAATGTCGACTCTATGCCCCACCCCAGCGCCCCGCAGTACCACCTTGTTCTCGAGCTCCCCAACCTCCTGTTGCCCGTCGTGTTCCTGGACGTCTCCTACGGCGCCCCCCTCGCCCAGCCGCAGCCCTCCCTCATCCACGACGCGCCGCAGGACGACGGCGCCAACAAGGCCACGGTTCTCCGCGCGCTCGAGGTGCCCGCCGCCCTCGTCTACGACCCCGACTTCCACAGCGCCAGCATCGCCAGCGCCAGCAGCGCCCGCGAGCAGCCAGGCACCGCCGGCGGAACCGCCGCCGCATCGTGCGGCGCGCCGCGGCTCGACGGCCCCATCGAGCGCAAGTTCCACAGCTTGGCAATCAACATCAACAACAACTCCATGCTCGACAAGGAGGCCAAGCCGTCGCCGCACATGCGCGACGAGCTCGCGCGCATCCTCCTGCGCCCGTCCAGCGGCGTGCTCCACGACCACGAGAAAACGCTCGTGTGGAAGTTCCGCTACTACTTCTCCAGCCCGGGCGCGCCGGACGAGCAGGCCAGCGCGCCGGCGCCGCTGCAGCCCACGCGGCAGTTCTTCACCAAGTTCCTCAAGTGCTTCAACTGGGAGAACGAGTACGAGCTCGACCACGCGTTCCGCGAGATCGTGCCGCTCTGGGGCGTCGACAGGATCGACATCGGCGACGCCTTGGAGCTCTTGAGCGACAACTTCAACCCGCGCACGCTCACCGCGGCCTTACGCCGCCGCTTGATCGCCACCACCCACGCCAACGGCAGGGACATCAACACCGCGGAGGAGACCAAGATCGACAAGATCTTCATGTACACCAAGCGGCTCCGCCACTTTGCCGTGGCGCGCCTCCGCGTCGCCAGCGCCGACGAGCTCCTCCTTTACTTGCTACAGCTCGTGCAGGCGCTCAAGTACGAGCCCGTGCTGGCCGACGACGACGTGTTGGACGAGGCCCCGCTCGCGCGCTTCTTGATCGAGAGGGCCGTGGCCAACCCCAAGCTCGGCAACTACTTCTACTGGTACGTCAAGGTCGAGAACGAGGACCAGCTTAACCGCGGCCACCCGTGGGCCCCGGACGCCTTGCTGGGGCAGCCGCCGGGCGGCGCCTCCATCTACAACATCGTCCTCAACTTGTACATCGAGAACCTCAAGGCCCACTCGCTCAAGCACAAGTTGCCCCACTACAAGCACCTCAAGAGCCAGATCGCGTTCATCAAGAAGCTTACGGCCATCGTCGAGCTCCTCCGCTCGTCTTTCAGAAAAAACGAGCCCACCCCGAAGAAGGTGCAGTTTCTTCGGGACTACTTGGCCGATTCGTCCAACGGAATGCTCAAGTTCTCCGACCCGTTCCCGCTCCCCCTAGACCCTTCGGTCGTTGTGTGTGGCTGCTACCCACAGGAATGCTCCGTCTTCAAAAGTTCCATGGCGCCCTTGAAAATCACTTTCAAGACAATCACCAACTTCGGCTCGGAAAGCGCGGGCTCGGCCTCCTTCTTTGGCGCCAGGAAACAGTACGGAAGGTACCCGCTTATGTTCAAGATCGGGGATGACCTACGGCAGGACCAGTTGGTCATTCAAATCATCAACTTGATGGACCAGCTCTTGAAAAATGAGAACTTGAACTTGAAACTAACGCCGTACAAGATCCTAGCTACAAGCCCCATCGCTGGTTTGATCCAATTCATCCCCAACGAAACATTGGATCTAGTGCTCTCCAAAAACTACGCAGAGACAGAATCGGCCTCGGGGCGTGACTCCAGGTCCCGAGGAAGCGCGGAGAGCACCACGAAGAACGGAATATTGACATATCTCCAGCTCCACAGCAGACTCAAAGAGCGGGACGACGTAGATGAGGGAAGCATATTGGGCGTGAAAAAAGATGCTCTCGCAAACAAAAGCCCACAAAAAGCCATTGTCACAGATTTGGGTGTTTCCAGCAAAGTCATGGATAATTACGTCAAGTCTTGCGCTGGGTACTGTGTCATCACATACATTTTGGGCGTGGGAGATCGTCACTTGGACAACCTCCTTTTGTCACCCAACGGAAAGTTCTGGCATGCCGACTTTGGATATATTTTGGGCAGGGATCCCAAACCTTTTCCGCCCATGATGAAGCTCCCCATCCAAGTTATTGATGGAATGGGTGGGATGAGCCACGAAAACTTCAACATCTTCAAGAGCTACTGTTTCATCACCTACACGACTTTGAGACGGAATAGTAACTTGATTCTCAACTTGTTTCAATTGATGTTGAACGCAAATATACCAGATATTCAAATTGATCCTAAGAGAGCAGTCGAGAAGGTACAGGACAAGTTCGCCCTCGAAATGACTGAGGAGGAGGCAATTCTTCATTTCCAAAACCTTATCATCGACAGCGTGAATGCGTTTTTGCCTGTTGTCATTGATACGCTCCACAGTTTGGCCCAGTACTGGAGAGCTTAATTTGTTTTTTCCTTCCGCTGCTCTCGGGCCCGAATTGAGCTTTTCAAAGCTCGAATGGTGACTGTGGTGACGGCAACGAAGATGCCGAAGGGAGGAAACCACTCTAAGATCGTCCACAATCTACAGGGGCGAAGGTCTTCCATAATAGCTATAGTTTTCTCATGAAGCTCTTCTAAAGATCCGTTGTTGTCAATCACTTTATCGGCTTTTGAGTCTCTCACCTCCATAGGAAGCTGGCTCAGAATTCTTTTCTTCGCATCTTCTTCAGATAATTCGGGGTTTCTTTCTAAAAGTCGTTTGAGCTGCGTGGTATCATCTGTGGATACCGATATCGTCACTCCACAAATGTGATCGAGACCGGCCTCAAATAATAAGGGAACATCGAGCACGGCCATGCTAGCCCCAGATACATACGTCCAAAACAATTGTCTAGCAATCTCTCGCTTGACTGCCCCATGGACAATTTTGTTGAGAGTTTTCAATCGTTCGCTATTGCCAAAAACTGCTTGTCCCAAAGCAGCCCTGTTGAGTCTCCCGCCTTCGTCTAACAAGTCCGGAACTTGCAGGTCGAAGGCTTCCACTACTTGCTTGTGAGCTCTTCTGCCTGGCTCAACTACTTCTCTGGCGATGGTGTCCGCATCGACAACAGGGATTCCTTGGATCAATAAGTTTTTGGAAACTGTCGATTTTCCTGTTGCGATGCCACCAGTAAGCCCAATGACGAGCATGGTGGGTAATGTCTAGATGTCAGGAAGATGCGAGGGCGAAAGGTCGATTTGGATGGGCTCACTGATAAAGTCACGTGACCCTGATGTTTATGGATGATAGAAAGAAGAGACTTCGTCTCAAGTAGGACGTTGAATCAGCCGTGGGATCGGAAAATAGTCTCTGCTTTGAACTTTCTAGCCTAATCTTTACAACTACGGACGATGATCCATGAATGGAGAGAGGGGCCAGCAGATCTGCACATAAACCAACACCTTTGCTCCGAATGTCAGTGCGTTGATGCGTTGAGATCGTTTCACATTCAGCAAAAAATAATTGCACGTTCTTGGTTATGTCCACCTTCATTGTTGGACAGGGCGCCATGGGCTCACTTGTGGCCCATGAGCTTGCACTTGGCCAGAGGCATGTGCCCACGCTTCTCATGAAGTCGAGGAAATCGCTCGATGTTTATTCGAACAATGGTGGCTCGATCACAGTGATGAGGCCTCTGCGGGCAGATTCAATAGCAAGCACAGTGCCCGTAGAGGCAATACATGGCCTCGGAAGCAAACTTTCAGGAGAAGAAAGCATTAAAAACTTGATCATTGCCACGAAAACTTACAGCACTGCAGACGCCATCCAGAGCTATCTACCTTATATCTCTCAAGACACGAACATATTGTTTTTACAAAACGGAATGGGCGTCGTGCCTCGGTTGAAGGAGAGCTTCTGGCCCAACTCGTGGGAAGTGCCAAAACTCTACCATGCGATAAGCACGCATGGGGCCTTCAAAACGTCACCCAACGTCGTGCATCATGTGGGGCTTGGGAACCTTCTTATATCCCAGCTTCCGTTGGGAGACCAAAATAACAAGTTTCCTTCTTATATACCACTGGACATACCCGAGATAGTCCAGGGTCTCACCGAGAGCTCTCATCTTGAGACGCTGTATGTGCCGTATGCGCAATTCATCCTCAAACAAATGGAGAAATTGGTGGTCAATGCTTGCATCAACCCGCTCACGACCACACTAGATTGTCTCAATGGGGATTTACTTTTCGCAAAGAACCTCACCTACACGTTGAACAAGATCATCGGGGAATGCATTGAATGTTTCAAGAAGGAATATGACATAATCTCCATGGATTCTGAGGCGGGCGTCATTCTTTCCCGGGACCGGCTCTTGTCCTCTGTTTTGTCTATCTGCAAATCTACTGCAATGAATAGCTCTTCGATGAGAGAGGATGTTCGCCGGCTCAAATACACCGAGATTGACGCTATCAATGGGTATATTGTTAGTTTGGGCATCAAGAGGAAGGTTGCCACGCCTGCAAACCGAATGCTTCTCGACTTGGTGAGAAATAAAGTGGCGATCGAGAAAGCAAAGGAAAACCAAGCTTTACACCGCTCGTTCAGGATGTGATATCACACAGCTGGGTGATTGGCCTGAGCAGACTCACAAATCTGCTTCATGTCCTGGTACAAGGAACGGATTTTCTCTATTTGGGGTTGCGCTGCATGGTCGAGGGCGTGGTCCGCGTTTAATCTGGCATTGCAATCAGCGATCAACTTGGCCAATATGCGATTGAGCAACTTGTTCGACTGCCGCTCGTAGTACGAGCCATCTGTCGTGCCCTCAACAAACGAGTTTAATCTTCGAGACGTTTCGGGATCTTGTTCTTGGAGAGTCGCCAAAGCAACTTCACATCGGAAGGACATGCCATCGATGTTCAAAGTGTAGTCACCATGGTATCCTTTCGCCTTCAAAAACTGCGCCTGTTTTGGGTTGAATAAAAGACTGATGAAATGGGTAATGTCGACGTAATTCCACTTGTTTTGACCAAGCGTGAAGCCGTACTCACACATCAAAAACTCGTTCGAATGTGCGCCATAGCTGAAATACAATTCTTCTCCCGACTGGTAACCTGTAGAGGTGAATACCTGAAAGCCGAGAGTATCGATTTTGATACCGCATTGATCCTCACTCAGGTGATTGAGGAAATCAACGTACGGCGCCATGGTAAGGTTGTCTGCGGAGTCTTTTGCTTGAGGAATCTCCATGTAAAGGCAACGAGAATTGATACACATCCAGGCCCAAAGAAACGTTTGTATGGAGAATAGCGCTGTTTCTTGGAGAAGAGACTGCACCACTAGAAGATCCTTTTCGAACCGGGCTAGAACCGAGTCCGAATGTTTGCGTGCAGATCGAGGAAGCATCGCCCACAACCTGTCTGCATGAGGAAGATCCAAAATCTTCCATACCAATGGGCACAAATTCAATTCCTCGATTGGAGGAAGCATATCGATGAATGGTTTCCAGAAGGAGTCGGAGCCCCGGGATTTCTCTAGTACTAGAAAGAGGGATATGATTTGGAATGAAGACAAAGCCAGCAAAGTTTCGAGGGAGAGACCAGCGTAAATATCGCCCACGGCATCTTTCTTCCCCACAGGCACGTGTAAGTTCTGGGGCACAGATGCAGGGATTTGTTCGTTCGGATTGTGCTTGAGAATGTGGGCCAATACGGTTGAGAAATTCAAAAGATATGAAGGCAGAATTCGGATGAGTCTTTCGTTACGTGAAATTGGGGCTTTGGCGTAAAGACCACGCCCCGAACCGGGAACGTCTTTGACCTCGAGTTTGGCCGAAACATGCGAGTTTGACTTCAATGAATCTGTTCCATCGCTGCCCATCCAAGAAAGGAGGGCGTCGATTTTTTCATCGATATTCTTCATTGCGAAAGGACGTGGAACGGAAGAATACGGGTGGCCGGATGACTTTCAATCTTTGGCTTTTTTAACAGGCGACTGGGACTTGTTTTTGAGCGTCCTCAATTGAACAGGGTGAGCCAAGATTTCGAGGTACAAGACTGTATGTATATGTATCTATAATGTGAGAATAAAACGGTAACAAAGAACCTCGTGAGACTTCTTATTCTTTATGCAATCAACAATTCACGATGCTTCACGAATCATACGTTAGGTCTGATTGCGATGGCCGATGGCCCGGTCTGTACATGGGATGTAAACTGCATGTTGCCCGAATCTGGAGTTGCAATGTGGGGTCAAGGCAAATTATCACCGATCTACATACTGAATCTAAAGAAAATTAAAAAAAAAAATTAATCTATTGACATTAGAAACCCGATTAATGATATTTTCGTGAGATCATAAACATACTTTGAATGCACAGACAAGCATCACCGTATCCGAAGCTCCCCATCGGACTCAAAGTAAAAAAGGGCTTTTTAGATACTTTTGTAGATAATCAGTGTTTATCAAGGTAGAAAATGATTGGATAAACGGTTTGTGTTTGCAATTGTTCAATAGCCCCAAAGGTACTGGAAAAAAACAAGAGCCACGGAAAAGCCTAATAGACTGTAAGACCACATCAATAATAGAGCAAGACAGGCACAATTATACAAACTCAAAACGGATTAAGGCAAGAGAACTGACTGTCTGATGAACACTCTGCAAGCGTTTTCAAGATATGCAATGGTGTCATTTGCAGCCGCGCTTTCATGATATCTACAAGTATTCAGTGATAGAAAGGATAATATATTGAAATATAAAGACATAAGCCCTAGACGCATTTCACATTCGAAATTGCAGGCTTATCGAAAATCCTTGCCTTAATTTCTTAGGCGATCACACAGGAAGAGTACCAGCCAGTTGGGGTGGTAGCAGTCAACCAGTTGTCCTTGTTTGGGGCAGAGGTAGTCTTGTTAGAAGGTTGAGGAGCGGCCATTTTCGAAAGTGAAGTTGTTTTTGAGATGATGATGATAAAAATGTATATCAAGGAGAAGAAATGACCACTTTATATACTCCATTTGTCAAGACCAGTGTACGTCTGATGACCAATCGGGTTATATCTTCTCAATGCGCAGAGCGTGAGATGCTTTTGCCTATTTGGACCACGACAATGCTTTCCTGGGGACACCCGCCTTTTCTTTTTGAAAAAAGCATGCAGCTGAAACAAGCTTTAAATGGATTTACTGCAAAGAAGTGTATCAGATGAGTTGTAACTACCCGATCCGGTCAGATTGCGGCTTCATCAATATTTTCGGCGGAGTGTCTCTGAGAAGGGATCCTGAAGTTGCGCATGTTGAACGTCATACTCAGATAAGAGTTATTGTCAAGGCCAAATTCAAAATACATGAAACAATGGGCTAACATTTCGGGACACCCGGTAAATCCACCGTGATTTCAGGAAACATTTCCGCTCATCATCGGGTTCAAAGCCTGTGTCTGGTTTCACCATGCAGATAGGCCATAAGCATATGGCGCCTTTCGTTGAAAACAAAGCCATACTCTGCCAATAGCAATGCTTCAATTTTAAAGACCTTCCCCCTTTAACCAAAGCCGAATTTCGCTTTTTGTGAAAACGGTCTGAAATCGCACTCGACAACCAGGCTGGCCACGTTCATTCTCCATGATATATAGGCTGGTTTCAATTTTTACGCTTGAGACAAGCATTAGACAGTCAATGGATCAGATCAAAGGAGGCTCCATTTTGTACATCATTCTTCGAGAAAGTCACTGATCTTTCTTGGACTGATAGAAAGCGGGTATTTGGAAACCAGATTGGAAGATGGGAGGTCTGCTGCCTACAGTTCCGCAGGAATTAGAAAAGACGAATGACGGACGTGCTGCTATTGTTATCTTTTGGCGAGCCCAAAATTGGTGCATGTGTTGAAAAGAACAACTACGGGTCTTGCGTTGCCGCACACGGAGTACAAAACGACCACCCGTATCTGTCGTCTTTATCCCCAATTCCACCACACTTCTATCCCACAAAACCTCAATAAACTAGTCCTGTACTAATGATACCCACTATTGCCACATTGATAGACTGGGTGAGAAACCTTGTTCTGTTTGCAGCCTTGCTTGTGCTTTTGGTGCTCGAGCTTCTAACGATGGCATTGGGCTCCCCCTTGATATTGACACACATTGTTGACATGGTAATGACAGACTGAGGTCCAGACAAGCACAAAAGAAAACTCCCAGACTGCTTTTGAAGTAGCCTCGTGTTGGGTGCCATACACGGAGTTTGTACCCAGCTTGATGGCCTGTGTGTTTAGGCTTCGAAGGCTCTTAAGTACAAATGAGGTTGGGGCAGAGCGGAAGTAGAGAATTAAAGTACTTTGGGTGGGGGCCAAGCGGTCTGGAATCACGGGAGCCCGGGATAGGGAAAGAACCGCTTCTTGCAGAGTGTTTAGAGTAAATCGAAGTCATTTATAAGTTTCGCGGGTGGTGCACTTACTTCTTTTATGAGCGGTGCAATTATTATGAGTTTCGTGGGTGGAGCTGACTAGAATGAGGGCTATCGAGCCCCGCCAGTCCACACAGTATCCAGGGGTCAAGGAATAGCGAGGGTAAGAGACCAATAGGCGGAGAAGCAAGACAGGATGCCGGGGGGCAGTTATCAGGACTTAGGAAGAAGCCAAGAAGGAGCCAGGGGACCAAGAAACCAAGGAACCAAGGAACCAAGGAACCAAGGAACCAAGGAACCAAGAGGGTATTAAAAAGGAACCAACAAGGAACCAAGGAAGAATGAACCAAGGAACCAAGGAACAGAAAAATAACCAAGAGGGAACAAAAAAGAACCAACAAGGAACCTACCAGAAACCAAGAAGGAGCCAAGGAACCAAGGAACGAACCAAGACCAAAAAGGAACCAAAAGGGAATTAAAAAGGAACCAACAAGGAACCAAGGAAGAAGGAACCAAGGAACCAAGGAACAGAAAAATAACCAAGAGGGAATTAAAAAGGAACCAACAAGGAACCAACCAGAAACCAAAAAGGAACCAAGGAAGAAAGAACCAAGGAACCAAGGAAGAAGAAACCAAGGAACCAAAAAAGGAGCCCGCTGCCGGCCCCCACCATGGCCCGGCCCCAGACGCGCGCCCGCGCATGCACATGTGCAAACGCGTATACTCGTCTCAAGACGCCGCAGGCCCTCTGAGTAGCACCCGCACATCGCCACCAGCCCTCCGTCTCTCCCCCATGAGGTTGCTCTGCGTGGCCGAGAAAAACTCCATCGCCAAGGAGGTGGCGCACATCCTCTCGGGCGGCAGCGCGCGCACGCGCAACTCCACGTGGAAGTACGTGAAAAACTACGACTTCAGCTGCAGCGTGCCCGGCATGGGGCTCTGCGACGTCACCATGACCGCGGTGTCCGGCCACATCTTGGGCTCGGACTTCGGGCCCGAGCACGCGTGGGGCAAGTGCCCGCCCGGCCGGCTCTTCGACGCGCCCATCGTGACCAAAGTCACCGCCGACAAGGACAAGCGCAGCCAGCGCATCCACGACAACATCGTCCAGGAGGCGCGGGCCGCGGACCGCCTCATGATCTGGACCGACTGTGACCGCGAGGGCGAGTACATCGGGTGGGAGGTCTTGCACATCGCGGCGGCCCGCAACCCGCGCTTGAGCGCCGCCAACACCTGGCGGGCGCAGTTCTCGCACCTCGAGCCCGCGCATATCCGGGCCGCGTTGGCCAGCCCCAAGCGGCTCGACATGCGGCTCGTGGAGGCCGTGGAGACGCGCATGGAGTTCGATCTCCGCGTGGGCACGTCGTTCACGCGCTTCTTGACCACGTTGTACCGCAGCCGCAAGCTCGTGGGCGACCAGGACGTGGTGTCCTACGGCACGTGCCAGTTCCCCACGTTAAGCTTCGTGGTGGACCGGTACATGCGCGTGCGCAGCTTCACGCGCGAGCCGTTCTGGACGCTCGACGTGGTGGTGGCGCAGGACACGCACAAGGTGCCGTTCGCTTGGGCCCGCGGCCACATGTTCGACCGGGCGTTCGTGGCCGCGGTGTACTCGCGGCTCCTCCGGGCGCCGGACGCGGCCACCGTCACGCACGTGGGCACGCGGCCCACCAGCCACTTCAAGCCGTTCCCGTTGACCACGGTGGACATGCAGAAGTGCTGCTCGCGCTTCTTCCGCATGTCGGCCAAGCAGGCGTTGGACGCGGCCGAGTCGCTCTACACGGCGGGCTTCATCCTGTACCCGCGCACGGAGACGGACCGGTTCCCGGACAACATGGACCTCCGGGCGTACGTGGCCAAGCAGACGCAGGACGCGGCCTGGGGGCCGCATGCACAGCGGCTCCTCGCGGACGCGTTCCGGGCGCCGCGGGCGGGCCGCCACGACGACAGGGCGCATCCGCCCATCTACCCGGTCAAGTACGCGGCGGCCAGCGCGCTCAAGGGCGACGCCCGCAAGGTGTACGAGTTCGTGGTGCGGCGCTTCTTGGCCTGCTGCTCGGACGATGCGCGCGGGCTGCAGACCACCGTGGCCATGCAGTGGCGCGACGAGCACTTTTCTGCGGCGGGGCTCCAGGTCACGCACCGCAACTTCTTGGACGTGTACCCGTACGTGGACTGGAAGTCGTCGGCCACGGTGCCCGCGTTCACGGCGGGGCAGGCCGTGCGCGTGCACAGCGCGCGGCTCAAGGACGGGCTGACCACGCCGCCCACCCACATGACGGAGCCCGAGCTCATTGCGCTCATGGACGCCAACGGCATCGGCACGGACGCCACCATCGCGGACCACATCGACAAGATCGTCGCGCGCAACTACGTGACGCGGCGCAAGGCCGGCAAGACGGAGATCTTTGTGCCCACGTCCTTGGGCATCAGCCTCATCCAGGCGTTCGACGCCATTCTCGCGGACCGCATCTCGTTGGCCAAGCCGTACTTGCGGCGCGCGTTGGAGGGCTTCCTCGTGCGCATCTCGCGCGGCGAGCTCAGCAAGCCGCACGTGGTGCAGCAGCTCCTCCCGCTCTATAAGGAGGCGTTTTTGGAGAGCAACCAGAAGAGCCTGGTGATTACGCAGACGTTGGTGGACACCAACAGCCGCATCGGCGCGCAGTAGCGGGGCGCGGTGCGGCGCGGCGCCAATGCGTGGCGCGGCTCGCTTCTGCGCAGCGCGTATGCGCCGCGCCGCACACCCGTGCACCGCACCCGTGCACCCGCGCTGCTCACCGTCAGTCAAGTGCCTTCGCCCTCCCGGTGCTTTCCCGGTCCCTCTCCCTGGCCCATGCAACGACAGCCCTGCAAATTCTTCCAGAAAGGCGCCTGCCGCTTCGGCAGCCTGTGCAAGTTCCTGCACGCGGACGCCGGCGGTGACGCGTGCGACGCCCTCCAGCACGGCTCCGTGGCCGACTTCCTCCGCAAGACGCCCGACGCCTTGGGCAACTCCATCAAAAAGGACCTTGCCGGGCTCCGCCGCATCCAGGCCAGCCCCGCGTTGACGGCCTACGGGCTCGGGCCCCACGCGGCCACCAACCTCATCGACGGCCGCGACGTGTCGCCCGAGGAGCTCCGGCTCCAGTACATGGCCGCCCAGGCCGCCAACTCCGTGGACCTGTACTGCCGCGACCTCGACTTGCGCCGCCGCGACATGGACTTCTGTGTCGCCGAGCTCACGCGCAACGCCACGCTCGCCGCGCGGTACCAGCAGATGGGCGTGTCCAACTCCGGGCCGGTGCGGCCGTTTATCAAGAAATCGCTAGCCGAGAGCATGCGCGACTTGCAGGCCGCGGGGGGCAGCGGCGCGTTTGGCCTGGCCGGGTTTGGCCTGGCCGGGTTCGGCGGGTCCAGCGGTTTTGGCGGGTCCAGCGGTTTTGGCGGGCCCAGCAATCCCGGCGCGTTTGGCGGCACGGCTCAGCCGGCGCCGAAAAGCGGCCTCGGGGCTTTTGGCAGCGCGTCTTTTGGCGCGGGCGCCGCGGCCCCGGCCCAGCCGGCCGCAGGCTCTGGCTTCGGCAGCGCCGGCTTTGGGGGAGCGCTGGGCGCGGGTGCCTTTGGCTCTGCCGGCTTCGGCTCGGGCGGGGCGTCTGCCGGCTTCGGCAGCTCCGGCTTCGGCAGCTCCGGGTTTGGATCTGCCGGCTTTGGCAGCGCCGGGTTCGGGTCTGCTGGCTCCGGGTCTGCTGGCTCCGGCAGCAGTGCTGCGCCTGCCGCTCCGTTTGGCCAGGCGAGCACGCTGGCGTTTGGTGCGCCCAGCGCCTCTGCCGGCACGCCCGCTTCTCCGTTCGGTGCTGCTGCGCCGGCGGGCGGCTCGTTTGGTGCCAGCCAGAACGCCTTTGGTGCCAGTCAGCCCTCATCTTTTGGGGCCAGTCAGCCCTCATCCTTTGGTGCCAGTCAGCCCTCATCTTCCGGTGCCAGCAACAACGCTTTTGGCGCCAGTCAGAAGGCATTTGGCGCCAGTAACAACGCCTTTGGCGCCAGTAACAACGCCTTTGGCGCCAGCCCGAACTCAGCTTTCGGCGCCGCCCCGGCCCCTTCCGCGGCCTTTAGCCAGAACATGGCTCCCCTGGGATTCGGCCAGCCTGCGCCCGGCTTTGGTGCCGCCCCACATCATGCTGCGGGCCTGCAGCCCGGAGGCGCACGCTTGGACAACGTCGATCCCATGGTCCGCGAGGCGTTCATGGCCTCTTCTTTCGAGCTCGGGAAAATCCCTGACATGGCGCCGCCACCGGAAGTCTGCTAAAGGCTGACGACTTGGCGCTGTAGGCAAGGTGCGCGTTTACGCTAGTCGAAGGGGCCGCCCGGCAGGATTCGCCTGCGGCCCACAGTTTCCAGCGCCAGCTTCTTGGATGAAGACTCATGAAGGCTCAGCGAGTCGAGATGACGACCTGTCTTGGGAGGAACTCGAGGGCTCCAGACGGGTGCGCGTGGAGTCTCGAGGGTATTTTCGGCGCTTCGTCCAAAGGCTGTGCCCAATGCTGTGCCCAAGGTTTATCCAAGCTGGATTCAAGGCTGTACCAAGGTCAGAGAAAAGCTGCACTTGAGCCTGTACCCAAGGCTGCACGACCTGGTGCCATCACCCAGGGTTGTACCAAAGCTGTGTTTAAGCCTGTTCACAGGGCTCAAGGGTGTTATCAAGGTTATACCAAAGCTGTATTCAAGCTTGTTCACAAGGCTCAAGGCTATACCCTAGGTTCTTCCAACGCTGAACTTAAGCTTGTGCACAAGGCTCAAGGCTGTTTCAAGGTTCTCCCAAAGCTGTATACAAGCTTGTTCACAAGGCTCAAGGGTGTTTCAAGACTACACCAAAGCTGAACTTGGGCCTGTACCCAAGGCTTTCTCAAAGGCCTCACCGGCCCCGCCGAAACCTGCTCATACCCCATCCCCGCCATCTGCCCCCAAACAACCGTATCGTTTGATTCATGCCACAAACAAAACCCCCCTCCCAGCATGGACCTTGTCGGTTCGCCTGAAACATGATGCATGGGCCTTATCGGCTCGCCTGAATTAAGAGGGCCCGCCGGCCGCCGCGCGTACTGCAGACACCGCGCACCTGCCCCAGAACACTGCTCGGCCCTCCGCCAGCTTCTCCATACTCCACCCGCAAGTACCTATCTGGGCCCCACTGATGCATGGATGATCTGCGTGGAGTGCACCAACCCGGAGATCACGTGTCTCCACTCCGAGTACAAGAGTAAGTACGTCCAGTTGACCGTGTGCCCCAGGTGCGGCAACTTTGCCGACCGGTACATTGAGTTCGACAATGTGATTCTCTTTCTCGACCTCGTGCTTTTGCGGCCGCAAGCCTACCGTCACGTGGCTTTCAATGTCGTGGAGCAAACGCTCTTTGCTGGTGCGCAGCCCCCCGGCGTTTTCCGCAGATACCGCAAGCTAGCCCGGTTCTTCTTGCTTTCGGTCTTGTTCGAAGTATACTTGAAGTGGGCGTACGAGGAAAAGAGCACGCCGCACACGCTCCTCAAGGCACGGGTCCTTGCGTGGCTGCCAGTGTGGCAGTACTCGTTTTTCGTCTGCCAGCAGATGGCGGAAAAAACCGTCTTTTTCTCGCTTGTCTTGGTTCTCTTCATGTGGGCCTCGGGTTCGGCGGAGGTGGTCAACTCCAACCTCCAACCCCCGTTCCGCCGCGCGTACTACCTGTGTGTTTTGATCCTGACCCTTCTCATGTCGTTGGCGGTCAAGTGTTTACCCATACTCATGCTCATATGGCCCTACGACAACGCAACCGTCGCGTCAATGGCAGTGGATGTGTTGAGTGTCTTCAACACTATCGAAGCCCTACATATAAATACGCGCTGCTCGTACGCAACAACCATCTGTATCATTGCCGTTTCTATGCTTGTCCTGATGGTCGCCAAGCAGCTAGCGACCAGCCACTTCGTGGCGTTCTTGTCGCCGGACTACACCTGGCTTCAGCTCTTCAAGCATGAGTGTCTGTCCTTTCAAAAGGAGGTTTGCGCGATGGCTGCGGCCTTCTCTCCTGTGGCGTGGGGGACTTTTTAGTGAAATATAGGGATTTGTTTTCTGACCGTTGTTCCATCGGCTTCCATGTAGAGTGCCTCGCCGCGGTCAACAGCAATGAGCGGGCCGTCTAAATCACACACCAAGTTGGGGTACTCGTACACTTGGTTCGATTCTCTCCGCTCGTCCAACGTCTGGTCCTGGGGCGGCAGCATGCCGTTTGTGCGCCCGAGCGACTCTTCCTCGTCGTCGTGAAACGGAAGCTCGTTGTTTTCAATGGACCTCAAGGCAATAAAGTTGGAGAGCGGAATGTAGCTTTTTTCAAAGTGCCACCAGAGGAACATCGTGAGGATGGGCAACGGGATGATGACCGTGGCACAGGCAACGGCCTTCTCCGAGGCAAGGGTACCGAACATCATGGTATGGAAAATGAGAAGCCCCATCATGACTCTCCTCACCACCAAGGGCCAGACTTTCCCTGTGTTGTGCGGCGGGTGGATGCACGCGTACAAGAGCTGGTACTTGAACACGAAGTAGCCAATGATGAAGTATATGAGCCCCGCAGTCAAGATCTTGGTGGATATCACAGAGTAGGTCACGGTGATGATGAGAATGAGAATCGGCTGCGGGAGCTGGAGTCCGAAATTGAACACCGGGGGCTTGTACAAGCCGAGGTAGTTGCGCGGGGTCTTGCTCCAAAAAAGGTTCTTGATGGGGTACTGCAAGAGGTGCCCCAAGAGCAAGAGTTTGTACGGGAAAATGCCGATTCCCTGGAGAATGATCAAGTCCACGTAGAACAAACTCAACCTCTGGAGGGAGTCCGCCAACTGGTAGGCCACCTGCGCGGTGTTGGTGAGAATGGCCGTGCTGAAGAGCGTGAACACCAAGAACAAGTTGACGAAGATGTAGAAGAAGTTCTTGGACACGGAGGAGAGCTCCTCGTCAGCACGTGACGTGTGGCCCTGGCGCCGGGTGATCCAGTTGTAGACGTACGGCATGATGATGTTGAAGATGGTGAACACGTAGGGCGGGAGGATGCCCGTGATCACGTACTGGGCCCAGGCGTGGGCCTTGAGAAACGCCGCGAGTTGCGGCGCCACTTTGGAGATGGACTCGATGTTGAGGAAGTTGGACAAGAAGCGCACGGGCAACACCAACAACACGGAGATCACGCCGATGAAAAGCATCACGGCCACGACCCTGGCGTTGCGTTCGCGCCGCGTCAAGCAGAGGTTTTCCCAGAGGATGTCATGCGGCGCCGGCGCCAAGCTGGTGATGAGGTGGTTGATCTGCGGGTCCAACACGGCCTGCGCAAGCATCTGCGCCTGGGCCACGGAGTTCATGGTGACGAACGCGGTCGAGCTGGGGGCAAACTCGCGGCGCCGGTAGCGGGTGATTTCCGCGTCGACGACCTGCAACTGGTCGCTGTAGTGGCTGATGGCGTCGACCTGCGGGCCGAACCAGCCGAAAAGCCCGGTGCGGATTTTGGGGCGGCTGGTGCCGGGGTCGCTTAGGACAAGCGAGCTGCCCTGGCTGCCGGCGGGGCTGATTTCGTCGGGGCTAGAGCCCACGGGGCTGTTTCCGGGGCTGTTTCCGGGGCTGTTTCCGGGGCTGTTTCCGGGGCTGTTTCCGGGGCTGATTCCGGGACTGTTTCCTGAGCTGTTTCCTGAGCTGGAATCAAAAGCGCCGTTCTGAGAGCGGCCGCTGGCGTCCGGGCTGGCCTGGGTTTTCAAGTGCACAGACACGCGGTCAATGAGGGAGGGCCGGGAGGACGCGCCCCACCCAGAAGCACCAGGCACGGGCCCCACAGAAACGGGCTGTCCATGCCCAGGATCCCCGGAACCACATCCTCCATTTCCAGAATTCCCGGAGCCATTTCCAGGACCCCCGGAGCCATTTCCAGGACCCCGGAGCCATTTCCAGGACCCCCGGAGCTTTTTCCAGACAGCGCCGGCTCTGCCGGGCCAGGCGCCCTCCGCATGCCTAGCCAGTCGCCCCTGCGCGGCCGCACGCGCGAGCCCGCCAAGTCCGAAAGCGTGCGGACGTGGTTGGCGTGGAAATAGCGCACCCAGCAGGTCTCGAGCCGTTTTAAGACCGCGGCCCGGGTGGCGAAAAGCGCACTGAGCAGGCTCCACTCCTTCACGATGCACACGGCGTCCACGGCGCCCACGCCGAGCGCCGAGATGTGGCGGCGGAGCGCGGCCTCGTCGCGGAGCACCGGCGGAATGCCCAGGAGCCGGATGGTGCGGTCCGTGACCGAGCACTGGCGGCCCAAATACCGCTGGCGCACGCGGATGATCTTGGCCGTCTGCCGCCGGAGGAAAAACACGAGCACAAACGTGAACACGTACGTGAACACCAGGTACATCCAGAGAAACGGCTGGTACTCCGCGGGCGGGTTCTTGCGGAACAGGCCGGCGCGGCCCGAGCCAAGGGCAGCCGGCACGCCGCCGGCGCCGTCCCCATCGGGAAAGTCCACGCGGCCCGTGAACGAGTAGCGCACGGGCGAGATCACCGCCACGGCAAACAACACGAGCACGGCCAACGCGCGGATGCACATCTGGAAGAAGCCGAGGAAAACCACCGCGTCCAAGCCCGCATGCTGCAACACCTGCGCCTCGGACACGCGGAACACCACCGGCACCCAGCCGAGGAGCGAGCGGGGGAGCCGCGGCAAGTTCTGCCGCGAGAAGCTGTGCGCGTAGTTGCGCTGCTGGAAGTTGGCCACGTAGATCCGCGGGTACCGTTTGCGGAGCACGCAGAAAAGCGCAAAGGCGCTGGCGCCAAGAAACGTGGCGATGGCCACTTGCACCCGGGCTATGCGGGCGCCCGTGCGGTAGCCGCCGGGCCCGGCTATGGGGTCGTAAATCGGGCTGGATCCATTGAACATGGGGCCTAGAAAGCCGCGGTCCATGGGCCAGGGAAGAGCAGAGAGCGGCGAGACGGCGGGACGCGGCGGTGTGTGCAGGCGCTGGGGGTTGGCGCAGCACAGCAGAGCAAAATCCGGGGGGCAAACGGCGCAAAGGGGCTGTAGAAAACCGTGCCGCCAGTGGTACAAAATGGTGCTGGAGGAGTTACTGGTGGTTCGCTGAGCCGTCTTCTTTATCGCGCAGCGCGCGCTGCAGGCAGGCGCCGGCGGGCGTGCACGGACGTGCGCCGGGCCTGCACAGAGCGCGCCCGCATGCCGCCGCCCAGATACGCGGGCCGTTCTCCGGGCTGGCCCCGCATCGGAACCTTTCAGAAACTGCGGGTAAGCAATGATGCAGTAGCTGCGGCTGGATCAGAGTGGCCGCGCTCGTTTGGAACGGGAGCTCGTTTGGGATGGGGGCTCGTTTGGGATGGCACGTGCGATGCGGCACGTGCTCGTGCAGAGAGACGGCTGCGGAATACGACCGGGTGCATGCGCCATGGACTGGCGGGCGTGCTTGGAACCCCGGTCTCCAGGGCCACTGTTGAACTCGTCTCTCATCCAGGATTACCTGTCCATTCTCTACTATCCAGCTAGAAAGGGGGGCTTGTTTTAGGACATCTGCGCGCGTGTTTTGCTGGTGATGCCAAAATCGGTTCGCCCAGTCGCATCTATATGGGCTTTTCTCAACGCCGCCTTATTTCTTAAGTCCCGGCCACGAACCCTGGTTGGCCAAACCGACCACAACAGACGGCAGCTTGCCAAAATTCAAACATCTCAGGAGATTTGGCGGGGCCGTCTTGCCATGCACCGTCTTTGCTTGCAGGACCGAGCTATCAAGCAGGTTTCCAAGTCACGCCTCACGGGTCGACAAGAACTGCCGCATATGTCCAAGGTGTTTGCTGGCCCACCAGAAATTCCAGCCGATTTCTAAACAGCCTGTGCACCCAGCGTTTTGGAATGCAGCTATAGAGATTTGCTGATTGTCGAATCAATCAAGTGCCGGCGAGACTTGCTGGTCGTCGAATCAGTCAAACAAACAACCAAAAAGGCAGAGACTACACAGATCAGCCACCCTTCTCACATACCCAGCACGGCAGAAACGCTTTGCTTCCATTCTCGTCAATCTCGCTTCTTCAGCTCTTGTCAAAGCTTGAATGCTATAATGCTGTTTGTATGTGAGAAGACGCATCATTCGTTTATCGGCAATAAAGGGGCGCTTGCAAAAGATATAACAAGGAATAGTTTATACATTCTGACTGGCCAATTACATCACAGGGCCTGTTTTGGACACCATGCTTCTACCTTTCGTGTTCCACACGGCTGTATATATCTGCGCTTATCCAAAGAGTACAGACCCTCACAGACACCTAGGCCCTGTAATTTTTGTTAGCCCGTGGCGTCAGACTTGAAACCTAAAAAACGCCAAATTCGACAGAAAGAACGCCAAATTCAACAGAGAAAATCGCCAAGTTCAACAGAATAAAGGCGCCAAATTCGACAGTAAACCGTTCTGTGCCGTATAATTGAAGCGGGTACTATATTTCCCGGAACTGCAGTCCTGAGACCTCTAGATGGCACAAAAGAAGATGAAACGGCACATCGAGAAAATGAAAAATGTAACTACCTCCGTGGTCCCTCGCTGTCTATCCGCAAAATAGCCCAGTGAAGCATTCACCCTAAAACTCCCATTACCTTTGTTTGACATACCACCCGCTTCGAGGAATTGGCCCAACAAGCCCCAAAAGGATGCAAACCCTCCAACTCAATTGGGCCAGACAAAGGAAGCAAGTGAAGACTTGCGCACGTGACCTGGGCTCTTTGCCGGTGATGACTATTTGCACCCATTCGCGTGGATACGCGTTCGCACCGCGTAGAGCCCGGCCATAGATATTTCACAATGTCTGTAAGTAGAAAGTAGCCAGAAATTGGGCAAACAATTATTAGCCCCGGGGCCCGAAAGATTTGATTTGACCTTAGGGTCTCGGCTAAGAGAGCTCTTTATAAATTACACAAACACCTTTTGCGTGCTTACATCTCGTTCATTATTCCTGCCTGGTGGATGTACAGGAAAAGTCAGAAGAGAATGAATGTAAACTTCACCATTGTCCTCTGTGCACATACGCAATTGCTGAAAACCTGCCTTAGTTCCTGTCACTCGAGTCACTCGAGTCACTCGAGCCACTTATACTGAAAACTAGCAGCTGGTGTCCTCCCCTGTGCTTGTTCAGATGAGCTATCTACAGATCAAAAGATTCGTCGATGAGCAAATCAAAGCCCTCAACACGCCTTTGATTCTCAACGACGACATCAAAAGGCTTCTACATCAGGAAGGTATTTCCGAAGGCCAGGCGCAAAGCATTCTTTTCAAGTGCAATCTTCTCATGAAAAGACACAACCGGACGAAGTTCAATAAACAGGTGGTGCATCAAATTGTACAACAAGTGGCCAAGGCGGAGCAGGAAAACTTGATGCAAGTGAACAAAGCCTTAAGTAAGATCTCCAGGCTCGCTCAGCCTATCATGACGGATCAATTTGCCAGTAGTGGCCGGTTAGAAGATCGCCTCAGATTGTTGAGCAATCTCGCAGATATTCTTCCAGAGGGCAGGTACCTCTTTGCCGTCCATGGAGATAATGAATCCGAAAGTCAGCCACCCGATGACGCCGAGACACAAGCGCCTGGAAGCGAGGATCCAAATCCCCTTGTGCGCGATGACGAGGAATTAGTGCAATCCCCCAGCGAACTCGAAATGCAAAATCAATATTTGAAAGCCACAAAACACGAATTGGATCAGCAAATCGGGGCTTACAATGAAAAGAGGGACAAGCTCCGCCAGCAATACGATGATCTACGGATGCAATTAGCGCATCTCAACGAAGACATTGTGTACAAGATGGAGAAATTGGCGTACCTCCGAAGCTTAAACCTGAAGATGGATTTTTTGGGAGCTCGACCTGACGAAAAATGTGTAGACTCTTGTGATAGCGATGGGGACGACGAGGAAGAGGCCGTAGTTGAAAACTCAGAAGACGAAGGCTTAGGGCCACAGATGACTCGTTTCAGTGTTCTTGTGGAGAAACTCGAATTTGCCCTCAGGCCTGGGTAATGCGGCTGGGGACCTGAAAGAGAATGATGCGTGAAGCACGAATTCCATCCTGAAGGGCACTGCTATGAAAGAAAATCAAAGGCGTTTTTTGAGGCTCGAGGAAAGACCTGAATGATCAGTACGATTCCTGGGCCACTTTGAACATACAACGTAATGGGAAAAAAAGTCTACGATGAGCGCCGGGCTTGTTCTTTCGTGAGTGGCGGGGCCATGCTTCCTTGGATCCTCCTATAGGTCAATTCGATGGTGGAAAGTGCTAAAAAGTAATTGCGTGATGGACCTTTCTACAGTCCACAGGGTCACTGATGCCACCCTAGTTGATATATCTGGAGCCTGAAGTGAAAGAGTGGACCCTTGCATCAGGAAAGAATCAAGGGAGAATGTATCATAGTATGCTGGCAAAGTTATTCTCACTATTGCAACGGAGCCTGAGGGTGTTTAGGGAACTGAAAAGTTTTGGACTTTTGAGACATGGCCCAATAACGTATATCGCGTTTGAAAGGCCATAGTCCATATCGATCAGGCTCCTGGTGGTTGTTACTGGTAAAAGAGCCTCGTCTTGGTCATGATTTCTCTTTTGAATCTCGATAAGAAATCTTTGGGGAAAAGGCGTTGATTCAGCCGAATAAAAGGAAGATCGGACACGCGAGAGCGTGGGAATAATCAACCTGGATATGCCAATTCAGACTAGTTTTTTTCTTGCACTGGGCAGCGCTGAGTTCTAATCCTTCTGCTTGGGAAAAGACAAGCGTGTTCTAATGAATCTTTTGGTTTGGATTGAACTCCAGGAAAGAGTCTGTGTCAGTTGAAGGCTTACATAATATCTGGATGTGGTCACAAGAATGACCAGAGCTCTTCCCTGTGAACTCTTTCCAAAAGTCTCTAGTTCTGTGAACGTAAATCAAAAGTTTCGGAATCTCCCATTTGCGTTCACGCTGCGTACGGCCTACGGCTAGTGATAAGTGGCAGAGATTTGGCCAAACGAGGCAGATATAGCTAGGATTAGTTTTCTTAACACGAACCTGAATAGGGCCTTCAAAGGAGAAGGCTCAATCTCACTGTTGCAACAGCTTTTTTTTCATCTTGCAGACAGAGCCTCAGACAATATTCTCTGATATGCCTGCTTTGGGTATGGATCTGGCTCTTTGATGTGCCAGTCTAGCTTGCAAAGGCGAACGGAGGCTGATTACATGCTGGGGCATTAAGGCTTGTACTGATGGGAGAGATGAAGCCAAAACAGCTGAGATCGATATTTTAGTTAAAACAAACTGAGCTTTTTTTGGAATATGGGGCTGAAGATGGGGTTTACGTCCTAGGTTGGCAATATATTAGCATATACACGTAAGTGGCAAGTAGCTGCATAAGACTCAAGGGGCCAGAGCGATCAACCTAATCTTGAGGGACCAGCCGGCAGATCATTGAAAATATTCACGAGCGCAAAGAGCTCCGGTAATGAGAACATAGGCTCTTAAATAGCTTCCACTTTAGAGGCCAAGTCTGCTTGTACTCTTTTATCTTTAGGACTTATTCCGAATGGTCTCAGAAATTGATAAAACGAGTAATAAAAATATATCTAATATCTTTACCAGATAATAGTAATGTACAAATTTTAGCATACAACATTTAAGATTAGTATTTATTAGTATAGTATATATTTAATAATGACTCAACTAATTATGAAGATATTGGTATACATGAAAACAGGCGATGCATTTTTACGGTTCGAGGATCGGTATGTTCTGTCGGTTTGAGGCAGTTTTTGCCTAGCCGGAAGCCAACCAGCAAAACAGGCTGCTCAATTTGGAAAGATCATATTAGTAAAGCAAAGAGAATGGACTGGTGGGAAGACTGATTTCAAATGCGTTAACAAGAAGCTTTTCTAGTGGATATTCCTTAGCTTTGAAGAGAATTCTAACTGAGAACCCAGTTTGGAACATTTATTATTTAAAAAACCCCACTAGGCACCCTTTTATAAGGAATGTCTCATTCTGAAGACTTATCTTGCTCTAGAACATCGTTCTGGGGCGACAGACAGCTTTGACAAATGGACTGTTTTAATAGAGAAGGCCTAGTCTAGGGGACCTATTTATGAGAATGCCCGACTAGGAAGATCATAAGAGAAATCTCCATCAAGGATGTTTATAGACCACCAGGCAACCATTCAATGAGGAACAGGAAATATTTCCAAGATAAAAGAGGCATCATTTCAATGGACAGCGACCAGCCAATCTTCCAAATAAAAATCAACCAGACAATATTTCAATAACAGCAGACAACACTTCGATAAGCAACAGATAACACTTCAATAAACAACGGGCAACATTTCAATGAAACCAGAAAACATTCCAATAAACAACACAATTTTTTTTTAATTCACAACAGACAGCCTTTTAATAAAGACAGGCAAATTTTCAGACACCACCTCAATAAAAAACAGTCAATAACAGCAGCCCTTTTATAAAACAGACAACATTTCAAAAAATTACACACAACCAACCAATAAAAATACAGACACTTCAATCAAAAGGCGAACACCACATCAGACAACACTTTAATAACCAACAGACCCCTGTCCCATGCAAACACCCAGCCGGCGCCAACCCAGAAAATCACCCCAAGCGACTGACCGCTACAAAAATAGCTTCGCCACTTCTACTCTACTGCACACGCATTGACCTACACCAGCTTCCTACTGCACACGCACAAAACTACACCAGCTTCAGAAATCCGAGTGTATTAGACCTATATGATACAGGCAAGACGCTTAGTCGAACAAGCCGAAGCCCATGTCGTCGTCGGACTCCTCCTTGGCCTCCTCGGCCTTCTCCTCAACAGCCTCACCGGCAGCAGCACCACCAGCAGCGGCAGCGGAACCGGAAGAAGCAGCAGCACCACCGGAAGGCACGGAGGCCAACTTGGTGTTACCCTCAGCAACCAACTCCTCGATGGACTTGCCCTCCAACTCAGACAAAAGAGAGGAGATTCTGGACTCCTCGGACTCGACACCAACAGAGCTCAACAAAGAAGAGATGTCAGCGGCGGAAGGGGCGGTGTTGCCACCTTGAACCAACAACAAGTAAGCAGCCAAGTACTTCATTTTTCTAGAATAATCAGTTTAAGCGGAGAGTGCGGACTATCCTTTGGGTGGGAAGAAGAAGGGTAGACCCGAAAAATTTTTATGGGCTTTGGTGCCGCGGGCCTCGCAGCCGATGGGTGTACGGGTGTGCGGCTGGCCCTGGTTCTCCGCCGGCAGGAGACCCAAACAGGCTTGAAAAAGACCGCTTTTCGGGCAGGTGCCGGTGCGCGGGCTGTGCTTGAACACGCGAGGGCGTGCTACGGCGGCATGTGGCGGGCAGCTGGGGGCCGCCGGAAAAAGAAGGGTCACGTGCCGCGTCACGTGCCATGTCTGGTGCCCTAGTGCGGCGGCCCTGCGCGGCTTAATAAAGCCAGTCGATGGGAGGCCAGGCAAATGAAGGGGCAGGCATATGAAAGAAGAATGAATGGAATTTGCTGCTGTTTTAAATTAGCGTGAGGGTGCTTTTTGTTGTCTGATATCTTCGATTCTGCTCTCCAACTTCTTTGTTTCTCTGCTCTCTGATTCTTATGTTTCTCTTATCTTTAATTTCTTCGTTTCCTTGCTCGTGTCTTCATTCCTATGCGTCTAAGCGCGCGGTCTCAGGGCAAGGCCTGTTCAGGACCTGAAATTAGTCCAGAAGGCCACGACTTTCGTCCCTCCACAGAAAAAAATAAAAATTCAAACAGCTTATAAAAGCCGCAGAAGCCAGGACCATATATACGTGGTTTTCTGGACCCGCAAATCCGCATCTAGCGGCGCGTGCTCAGGCCCAACCACCGTGGCGGGCCGCGGCCAAAAACAGTCACGGTGTCACGTGACGTCTTCTTGCACTGTCAGGCAAAACACCCGTGCCTTCCCCAGTGCGGCGCGCTCCGTGCACCCACGACGCGGGAGCCGGGCCGCGTCACGTGACCACCGCTGTGCCCCTGTGCACGCCCGCGAAAGCCCTGCACTCTCCAGCAAAATTTTCATTTCACCTCAATCTTCTTGCTACGGATTTTTCCAGACTCCACATACATTCAATAATCATGGCTGAGACTAGTATGTGACCCCCTTTCATATATGGGCTTCTTGGGACGGATGCTGCTGGGGGCGCCGCTTCTACTTGGGTCTGCTGGCAGGCCCTTTCCATGAGCCGAAACAGAAGGCTTGCATGGCCCTGGTGATTTCAGAGCGTCCTCCATAATACACACTTTTTCCCGCTTGAACACAAACCGCCAGCACGAGTGGCTGCCGAATCCATGACATAGAAAGCCAGCTTCGAAAAAGAAACCCCGCCCTGCCACACGTGCCATTCCAGGCGCCCAAAATACTGTACCAGCACTAGCCCTTTAGAACCCCTTCTCTCCCATCTACACTTATGAAATATACTAACAAACCTAGCTAACCAGAGGAAGAGAACCTTCAAGACCTTCTCCTTCAAGGGCGTTGACCTTGCCAAGTTGGTCGAGTTGGAGACCGAGGAGTTCACCAAGCTTTGCGGTGCCAGAGTCAGAAGAAGATTCTCCAGAGGTTTGGGTGCCAAGCCAATGGGCTTGATTGCCAAGTTGAGAGCCGCCAAGTTGGCCACCCCAGCCAACGAGAAGCCAGCTGTTGTCAAGACCCACTTGAGAAACATGATTATTGTTCCAGAGATGATTGGCTCCATGGTCGGTGTCTACAACGGTAAGGTTTTCAACACCGTTGAGATCAAGCCAGAGATGGTTGGCCACTACTTGGGTGAGTTCTCCATCACCTACACCCCAGTCAGACACGGTAGAGCCGGTAACGCTTCTGCCAGATTCATGCCATTGAGATAAGCGTCCAGGGCTGTATCCTGTCATACATAGTATAATAATCATTGCTAAGAATGCTGAGCTGTAGCTGGAGTGTGTGTTGCTTTTGTTGCTGCTTGGAAGTGTTTTGGGTTTTGCCTGGAACAGTGCTTTACATTCACAAGAGTAGGCCCCCAAAACTTCATACTCCGAAAAGTGCTTCTATTCATGCTGCTGCACCTGTGTGTTTGTCTATTTCCGTCTTGCTGTGTTCATTAGACTCAGCAGCCATGTGTTTGTGTATCTCCTCTCTATCACTTCTTTCGTCTTTTTTTCGCCTATTCTTCTAACACCCATTCATCGAATCTGTGACTCCATCTCGCATTTTGGTCTGCGTCCTGGTTCTTTCTTACTGGCGTCCACCCGTTTCTTTCAAAGCTTTTACGAATCACTCCTCTGCTTTCTCTATTCGTCGAGTTGAAAATTGCGGAATACTGGCTAGGTTCCGCCTCTGAAAGCGGGTGGTGATAAAACCTCATTAACCTTGCCGAAAGGGATTTGATAATTAATTTTGGTGGAATGCAATATACGTATTTACCAGATTCAATTGTTGCGTATATTGCAAACAGGACGATACATTCACGCCTTACTTAATTGGAATATGGTTCAAATCAAGACGCTCGCTTAGGATACAAGGTCTACTGATATCTTGTATTCGGGAAAGCCAAGGCATATTATGGTCCTGAGAACTCCTACAATAAACCTTTAAAAATGGCATCTTTCGAAACAGATGCGAAATGGACTGCTACCCGAATACAAGATCACTGGCTGAAGACAATGGCATTCGAAGATAATTGTTCTGCTGCCACAATCAGAACCACGTGATGATTGAGCAATTTTGGCATTTTGATTGTGGGCACGCAGGTTACGAGCCTTAATAAATCCGGGTAATTTCAGTCCATTTTTCAGAAGCTTTCGAAGTATAGTGAGGGAGCTGCAGCCTAGAAATATTTTGCTTAGCTTATATCAGATGTCTTCATTCATAGATACATGGGATTCGGTTTATTCTTCTGCAATATTTCCACATACAGGAGTCAACATCTGATCATGCCCACACTCTTGGTCTATTGTAGATATTCACAGTTTCATGTATAAAATCACGCTTGAACGCTACAACTAGAAACTGGAAGCCAATACGCATGAGGCATATGGTTACAAAGGAAGTACTCGGCCACCAGCCGACACAGACTGCATTGTATTCTCTCTTTCTTATTTTCATAAAATTCAATTTAAAAGACGTTGAATCTGTGCTTTGGTTGGTCGAGGTTCGCTCTTCGATTCCCAGTACTGTCGAGCTAAATGGGGCTTTTCTTCTTATTCTGTTTGAATATATCAAATCAGTGAAATGTATCACTTTAGTTCGAGTTGCAAACTCTGGTGCAGTAAACAATATAATGTATATCTGAAGCTCCTCACGTGCTGTAGAGGGATGCGGCGGGGTATCGGTAGGATGTGTTTTGTAGATGATATTTATCAGACAATGTATTGATTATTCAATCTTTCAAAAAAAATTAGCACCTCGAAAACTTTCTTCGACATGATATCTTTTGAATGCAACCTATGGTACTGAACGAACTATTCCATACAGAACAACGTACAAAGGAGTTGGGTGCTACATCCAATCTTAGAAACTGGCATGCATGTTGATGCAATGTCACAGGCTCCACGTTGTTTAACAAATTAATAGAGCATTAAACAAAGATTCTTCGAAAACATCAAAAAAATTAGGTCTCGTAGCAAGTGTCTCGTTCTGTATGGCTAATTTATGAGTATCCTGTATTTTCAGCGATCTTCAACTGAGGGACAAACCTTTGAGGTCTATTACTCTCGAAAAGTGGGCCATTGAATGTTATTATTGTAAAAGGTTCAGGGCCCTAGCCCTCCATCATCAAGATAGGAAGGCCGACCTGGAGTCTGGATTATTCAGACACGTTCTAAGTATAGGTGACAATGCTGGATTTCAACGGGCCGTGCTTCCCTCATTATAGTAAAATATAGGCATGATACACTCTATATATAATATGGAATATATTGGACTGAAACTCTCCCATTCGCATAGTTGCTACTGTAATCGAAATTTAGGACACTTGGAAACTGTTTACCTGAAAACGTTATACAGACTAGACAACAGAGACATATCCGGATAGTTCCCTGAGCTTGAAAGGTTCCAACATTTTGATCTCCACTCAAGTTTGGGGGTTTCGGATTCCAACTAGAGTATCACGTACCATGGAAAACACACATTGCAGAAAAATCCCGTGGTATTGTGTTAGTGATTTCAGTGACTATTACATACACAGAAATACATTGCGTGTGCAGCAGTCTGAAATAAATAATGGTCCACAAATATCTATTATGACATACAACGTTTTTGCCTTGTGCGGCCACTGGCGTTTTCGGGATTCTAATGGTTTTCCAATGATTCACTTTCGGTATCCTATTCTAACGCACGAGATTGGGACTTACCGACCCGATATTGTTTGCCTACAAGAGATTGATAGGAGAGAAACACGGAAGCTTCAAGAACGCCTCGGCATGCTTGGATACTCGATGGTTTTTCTGTACCACAACACAGTGAACACTATGGCAGTATGTTACAGAAACAACTTGTTCTCAGAGGTTCGACAAGAACAAAGCTACTACTCTGTCTTGACGTCAAACGATTTAGCAGGTAATGACCATGGCCGTCATTGTGTGATGATGATGTGTTTATCTTTTAACGAGGATTTCTTGGAAGGGCATTCACAGCCTCTGAGAAACGGGCTCATCATTGTCAACACACACCTTCCTTGTGGAGAACATCAATCAAAAAGTCGAACACGACAAACCGCCGCCCTCATGAAAAGCATCAAGGAATTCTCAGAGAGCCTTGGGGCAGAAAACGGATATTCAGACTGCTATACGTTTCTTGCCGGAGACTTCAACTCTGGTCCTAGTAGCTCTGCATACCAATCTTTGGTCTCCAAGCCTTTTGAGTTTAGCCCAGACACCAATTGGGACTCTTCCATACAAGCGAAAATCGAGCAGGCACATAACCGCATTGACTTGCGTGCAACATCGCTCTATTCAGTGGGCTACCATCTAGTGAATCTGAGAAATTCCGGGATTGACAATGACAGGAACGAGCCGCCATTTTCGTTCTGGGGCCCGGATAACCGAGGTCTTCTCGACTATATATTTGTTATTTGCAGATGGTCTGGAGACGACAAAAAAGGGGTGGATACCCTTGAGGAGCTTTCGGAAGCTGGAGACGTCAAGCTTTTGGGGTTACTTCGCATGCCTCGTGCCGAGGAGATGTATGGATCCATTCCCCAGGTGGGCATGTATCCATCAGATCATCTTTGTATGATGGCTGATCTCGAATTGCTTTGAGATTTCTATTGCAGAAAAATTAGTAACCCACCGGAACCCAGTTGGCAGGAAGCATGCAAATTGCCCTTGCTCCCATAGTAGTGTGGAGACGTCGCTTCAAAACTTTATGCGTAAATTGTCTTGTGATGCAAGAGCCGGCCTTCGCGCTTGGCCAGAGTATGCCTATGCTCTAAACTGCTTATTCTTCTCTGAATAGCACCAGCTCCAAATAGGAGCTATTCCGAAAAATGTTCGGAACCTGAGGATATCACTATATCCACAGACATCGCCCAACTGGAACAGCTTCAATGGGCGAAAAACTTGTATCACCCCAAAAGACTCACGTATATAATGTAAGCCTGACTTCAAATATTTTTGATGAGCTGGAAGATTCAGAAACACTGGACTTTACACCTTGAAACTTTTGGTTTCCACTTCCAGGCTGGGTGCGGCCTTTCTAGATCATGCACCTGCCGCGTCCCAGTTCAGTAGTAATTGAGGATCCGGTCATATCTTACAGCACTTCCATAATCGACCCATTCAATCTCTTGAAGCAATCTAATGCCCTTTCTCTCACAACACATGATCAAAAATGTGCGATATGTCTGAACGTATATTTTTATTGACCATGGGACCTACCGATTCTTCATTCTTTCTGATGAACGCGAAAACACAAGGCAAGAATGTGTCCGGCTTTTCCGAAACCACAAAGTTGATGAAAGATGTTTTCTAGGACTGTAATCCAAAAAGCTTATCCGTAAGTAAAAAAAACCATACTTCTAAAAGCCCAAGTGAAAAGATAAAAAAAAACCAACCTCTGTCCAGATCAACAGTCTTTGGCCCCAGCCATCTCCGGCCCTTGGCCCCAAATGCGCACGCCCAATGTTGCAGACCTGCCTAAAAAAAACCTAACCTTTCCAGATCTGCGATCCCAAACCTGCATCTCTTCCCCCAAAATCTGGCCCCCAGTCTCTTCGAATGGTCAACCCCACAAAGGAGATTGCCTATGGTGCCGCTGCAGGATGCTTGGGTAAATTCATCGAGTTCCCCTTCGATACCGTGAAAGTGCGGCTCCAGTCCGCACACGGCACTCGGTCTACCATCAGCGTGATTTCGCATATTCTTCGCCAGGAGGGCGTGCTTGGATTCTACAAAGGGCTCAAGGCCCCGCTTTTTGGCGCCTGCTTGGAAAGCGCCATTTTGTTTTCTGCATATGAGTATGCTCAACAGTTCTTGCGGCAGCTGACGCCGTGGCTGTCTTCGTCCATGCTATCTATATGTTGTAGTGGAGTCTTTTCCGGGTTTGCGGCATCGTTTGTGCTTACGCCCGTGGAGTTGGTCAAGTGTAATTTGCAGGTGGCCAATCTTCTGGAGAAAACGCGCCATGAGTCGTATGGGTCCATCCTGTCGCAGATCATCAAGAGACACGGAATCGCCGGGCTCTGGCTGGGGCTATCGTCGACGCTTCTAAGGGAAATGGCCGGCACGGCAGTGTGGTTTGCCGCATACGAGAAGTCCGCCATTTGGTACAACCGCTTGTGGCCGGAGCAGAAAAACATCAACTCCCTCATGAGCGGCGCCACGGCCGGCTTTCTTTTCAACTTGTCGATCTTTCCTGTAGACACCATCAAGTCCAACATCCAGACCGCGCACATTTCCGGCCGGCTGGCGGCTGATCTGTCTTTTTCCAGCGTGCTCCGGAGCTTGGTCCGCCGCCCGGGGGGTGTCGCCAATTTGTACAATGGACTAGGCATCACGTTGGTGCGTTCGATTCCTGCCAACGCTGTCATATTCTATACTTACGAGTACCTCAAGACCCACTTCTGAGCCATGGACCCGCCATGCCACTGCACACGACTTCATTGACAAAAAAAAGACTCAAATTGACTCGCATCCCGGATTGCGGACTCAGAACTGCGCCGCTGATTCCAAGTCATCGGCGTTGATCAAATCGCAGCCTAGTTCCCAGAGACTTTTCCAGTGCATGTTCCTCACGTGCACGGGCCAGTCGACGCCGCCCCAGATTCTGGCTTTGAGCCCCACGGCGTGGGCCGCATCGAAGAACTCCTTCAACATGGCCCGTTGTGGCTCGCCGAAATCATGGCGCAAACTGGCCTCGTAGTCTCGTGTTCCAATCAACTGCTCCAAAGAAGCACTGGCAAAAAGGCAGAGCCTGCCATATCTCTGCCGATCCTGTTCACTGGCACTCACCAATTGATGCAACGGACAATCAAGAAAAACGCTCCGAATGTCATATATTGTATCCTCCAGCTCAATCAAAGCCCACGGCACATCGCCAGTCAAGGTGACCGCGACCGGCCCCTCCACACGCTGGAGATCGGAATTATTGAAATGGGACAAATATTGCTTTTCTGTGAACTCCCGCAAGTAACTTTTCAAGACCAAGTAAGTGTCTGATCCGTTTGTTTTCAAGTCGAGCCATAAATTAAGCGTCAGTTCCGGGGAGTCGAAGAACACCCCATATTTTTTGGACACCGCGCCCAAAATGGGCTCCGAGTGATCGTTATTGGCGCTTTCGAGAAAGCGATACAATGGGTCAAGATATAGGTCTCTAAGTGTGTTTTCGGGCTTCAAGTGCACCTGATTGTGTCCAACATAAATATCATCCCGGTCGAATTTGGCCGTTGACTCTGTGGTCGTGTCTGTCACTGTATAGCTTTTGGGGAACCTCCAGATATCCGCCTCAATACTGATGCATCCATACAGCAATGCATCCAAAAATGGCCTTTTGCGCCAGTAGTCATTGTGTGAGTGTATAGGCTTCAAATGGACATCTCTTGTTAGCGACTCCACGGAGATTGCTGCGGGAGGGTTTGCCATGACAGGCCTGTAGACATTGATCATGATGGCGATGGTTAGCTCAGGACTGATTCTTCCAAATGCAAGAAGACCTTGGAGAAATTTGGGAACTACTCAGAAAGCTCAAATACAGGGAAGAAAAAAGCGTTTAAGGTTCTGTGAACCAGAAACAATTGCAGATTCTCTGTAGTCACATGATCAACACCAGACAGGAGCCTGCTGGTACGCAACAGAAAAATCTGTTCGAAAAAACTAAGAGGGTGATATTCAGAATTGAGAATAAACATTTTCTCGGGAGGATTGAGGGAAAAATGATTCAGCATTTCACACATGATTGCCATCCTGTAATAATTTTGCTTCCGATAAGAGTATAGTGGGCGTCGCGCATATCATTTCGGTATTATCTTACCTCCCGTATGGTATATGGGTACATACTAGCGAAGATACTGTAGAACACTTATGAGGAACAAACAGGCTCTTGGGGGCTGGAAGAAGATGTCCACTCTCTCTAGGTGAGCAAATGCTACACTACAGTGTTGACGATATCAACAAGTAGTCCCAAGTATTTATAACATGGCGCGCCTTGGTAAAGTAATAATTGGCCTTTGCAACTCGCTATTAATTGAGGCTATTGAATGATCTATTTGAGACGTTCGACAATCACTTCCATACAATGGCCGATTCCATGAATATTCGACACTGTTTCAAGTTGAAATTCGTCACTCGCCCAGTGTTGTAGACGGAATTTGAGCACGCGTGCGGCTTTCTCAAAACAAGAAGCAAGCCAGGCATGATCGAAGAAAGGAGCGACATCGGGGAAATTGGTACTTGGCAAGAAAACAGGGCTCCTAGTAGAGTGCTTGAGATGGAGCACCTTGTATCCGCCTTCAACTTTGGTAATCTGGGCGAAACATCGTAAAATGATGAAACTTGCAGTGAGCGCGATAAGAATGCTCAGACAAAGATCAAGAACCTCACTACCTTTGAGAAAAGCATCTTCTTCATTTCCAGCATGTTCATACTCCTCTAGGTGATTGATCGAGAACGTGTGGGTATAGTAATGAACAGGAGTGTTAGCTTCGGCGTTGAGGGGACTCACACCCATATGTAGAAGTAGAATCTCAAATATCTGCTTGATTTCATTCATCATATCCAAGACGCGTCCCCACTGGAATTCACTCATATTGGCAATATTGTTCCCCAATTGCTCCAAGTTCATCAAATCACTTTCAGATAGTTGTCTTATAAAGTCGATTCTTGGGTATGCGACTTTAGATGTTCCACTCGATGTAGTTTCCAGAACCATCAAGCGATCAAATAACATCACGTTTTTCATGAAATAGAGATTCTGGGTCAAATTCGAGCATCGCCAAATCATATTAGCTTTCACACAGCAAGCATTCAAAATGATGACTCCAGTTTTTATTGAGTAGCTTTCATTCCTCAACACATTTTCAAATGCTTTGTCCTTCACAATTTCGTTCTGAATGAATTCTCCAGATGCAACTCTATCTAATGTGTTTCTGAGCATCAGAATAGCTTTGATGACACAGTTCACATCATCCATATTGTTAGCAATGAGAGACTCACAAGTCAATCTGCGTGAGTCATCTAGCTCGTTAAATGAAGTGCTAGACAAGGGGAGAGGAATGCTCGCAGAAATTTCAGCAAAAGTCAAACTCCCAATGCTATTCGCGTAAAAGTCTGTTTGAGCTGGTGCATATGGATAACCGTCTCTTAGCCTCTCCAATGTTTGTATGCTCCATACTCCCCATATCACGCGAATTACACATTCTCTTTCATATGTCTTTCTCGGGTTGAGATCTCCACGTTTAATCTGCAATGTTTCGAAAAAGCGATTGTTCTCCACAATGAGAGATATGTTACTCATATATGCAGACAATGATTTGGAATTACTTCTGACGCTAAATGCTCGGCAAGTAAGACCGTAACAAAGAAGCATGCCGAAGTCATTGAGATCATCCCAACGTCGAAACATGTTGTCAATCCAAAATGATTCCCTTGGGTCGGCTGGTAATTTCTTTTTATTGCAGACATTTGCCAATATAGCATGATAGATTGAACTCTCGGAGCTTGGCAGGAACCACTTGAATAGTTGAGCTTTGGGAGGAAGCAACAAATAATTCGGGTGAAGATTTACATAGTAAAAGTCAATAGCACTGAGTAGAGTTTCTTCTGGCGGGAGGTCATTTTCTAGGAGATCGCTTGATTTGAAATGTGTCTTTCTTCGTGTCCCAAAAGTTTTATCGTGGTCCTTGCCCACACGGCTTGTAGCATAAGTATCGCTTGGGCGAGACGAATTAGGCGACGGAGATCTTGTACTTGGAAGCGAGGCATAGGATGGAGCAGTGGCTGCATTTTCCATGGTCGGGTTTTCCTTGTGTTCCGGCCATGGAAGCTTGCTATTTCCAGCTGCGTTGCGAAGTGAGCTACTCATATTATCACCAAAACTCGTCATCCACCTGGGGGAATCATTTTGCTGACTATAGTGACCCAGTGGATGGACTTTATTTTTCGGAATATCCATGTTCTTGCTCGAGCCACGAGTTTGACCATCTAGGTTTATTGCAGACGCAGAACTCGATGATTCACGTGATCTTCGAGATATTGTAGAGCCACCATCAGTTGAATATCTGTGTGGATCAAGGTATTCATGAAGACCTGGAGGACCATAATCGCGAGGGTATTGCTCTCGGTCCACGTCTGACACGTTTCTGAGGTTCTTATCCTCGTGTTTTGGGGTTTGGTCCTTTTCTCTGTGGCACTCTTCGAAATCACTGCGCATATGATTGGGTCTTACATGTACATCAGTCGAATGAGAACCGCGAAAGGCCGATGGCTGATGAAGTCCACCAGCGCCATGATGAAGGCGATGCGATTCTTTGGTGTGTTCTGAAGCCCCTTTTTCCAAGGGAGTTGATTCTTCGTGATAATCAAGTGTGCTCAGACGGCCGTACATAAAGGGCGATAGTCTGTTGGTCTCTTTAGAAGAGCCCGTTCTCTCCAAGAGCGATACATGCTTGACACCATCTGGAGCACGAGAAAGCAGGTCACGTGGGGGAGGACACCTGGATGATTCATGACCACGAGAGTCATACGCGTCACGTGCGTCATGTGGATCATAAGGACCGTGATGATCATGAGGTCCGTGAGGGCCACGTGGACCCCCTGGGCCATAATGTTCATCATGAGCACGAGAACCATATTGATCATGAGGACCAGCCTGGCCACGCGGGCCATGCGGACCATGTGGATCATGCGGACCATGCGGACCATGCAGACCATGCAGACCATGCGGGCCATGATGACCGTATGGCTCATGAAAGCCAGGAGGCCTGTGAGGTCCTCGAGGCCCATGCGGTCCTGGGTGTCCTCGATGAGCTCCACCGTAATTATATAGGTCGTACAGATCGCGCGGCTTATATGGGCCTGGCGGCCCGTGTGGTCCACCCGGAGGAGGATATGGATAGAAAGGATAAGGCATGTGTGGAGGCATTGAGCCATTGATGGGAGGAGGAGGAGGAGGAGGAGGAGGAGGAGGAGGAGGAGGAGGCGGCGG